ATATGGATATTTTGGACTAGAGTTCCTACCATTCCCGGCCAGCATGGCTGACCTGATGGATTCTGGAAGGACTGGTCAGCCACACCCCCAAACAGCAAGATGGGAATAATTTTACTAGTCACATAAGACTGTTGTAAGAGTTACCGAAATAATGCGGCGGGCTTTGCACTTCCTAAAAGCATTGTTTAAACACTTAACAGCACCATACTAGGCATGGCTATTGAGAAGTGGTAATGTATAGGATAGCGCCCAAATTGCCATCATCTCTCATTGTTAATGGTTATCTAAATCTCAAGATGCTTTCCATAAATGAGACAAGTTTGCCTGCGACTTGAAATGAATGCTGCCAAACATACGGTGACGTTCAAGAAAATCTGCAGGTTTCCAGCTCCAGTGTGCATATTTTGCAATGCTCCTTTATTTCATGTGGTGGCAAAGCAGCATAATGGCAACCATATTTTATTTCTCCCCCCAGAGCACAAGGAGAACATTCAAGCAATTTGCATGCACGCAGAGCAAACAATAAAAAACCGAGCTGACATCCTGGCTCTTCCTACCTTGCAAGGATTAATCACATTGTGGGATGGAGTCTTGGAAAGTTCATCTTTCACGGCGAGGGTGGGGTATTTTGCAAAAGCGTCACGGCACGGAGTATGTTTTTATGTGCAGAAAGGCTGTTAGTGAAGTATGGCTTGCAAAACAGGGCTGTTACATAGACATACAAAGTTTCCCCCTCATTTGTGGTACTCCCTTAACGTTGAATGTTAGCTAGTTAATTTTGCATCTAGAAGTGCAGTATAAACGTTCTCTTCTAGCCACATGCTTTCAAATTGCCAGTACAGCCGTACCTTGGAAGTCGAACGGAATCCATTCTGGAAGTCCGTTCAACATCCAAAATGTTCAGAAACCAAAGCACGGCTTCTAATTGGCTGCAGGAAGCTCCCAAAATGCCCTCGAGAAGCAGCCCTCTAGATTTGACTCCCACCACCTCAGCTCATGTGCATTGGACTATGATTACGCCAAGCCTAAATTAAATTTGACAACATGTAAATGAGTATGTTAAACTTTTTGCATAAAGGTTATATGGAATGAAACAAAATTTGATGCTAGCAGGTGCAACCACTCTCTTGGTCAAAAGTGCAAAACAGAAAAGCATAATTTTGGAGAACATCGCTGAGAAATCTGGAACAAAACATGATTATCCCAAAGAGTGGTAGGACTACTGAATTCCTTTAGGAAAGCAGATTGTGACTCATCTATTATCTTCCTGACAGGAAGGATAATTCTGTTTGAAATTTGCTCAAATGTAAATGGTGGTGTATTAATATGTGCAAAGAAATATGCTTTGAAATTATGTCCCTGCTATTCCTGTTGTTGTTTTACATGAGGAACAGAGACACCAGGCATCTAAAATGTAAATAACTCAAATGGAATCTATGAGTTGCATTTCCTCTTCCCCCCTCACACTCTGTTATTAGAATTAATTCAGTTGGTTGGGTGAAATGGAATGGCAATTATTTTAATTCAGTAAAAGGCTAAGTTTGCGTGCCGTGTTTTGTTAAGAGCAAAACAACACAAACTCTATTCCCTTCGTAACACACAGGTGTACGGCACTAATGAAAAATGTGACATCAGTGGAGCCTATGACTCCAAACCAGAAAAAGGTAGTTACACTTAAATACCATTGCTAGTTTATTAGCAAATCGGGAATCCTGTAGTCCCTGGCAGCACCATCTTGGAGTTACATCTCCAAGGGAAGAGGAGAAGGTCCATCCTCTGAGAGGGTGGTCCAACATTACATGTTTCCTCCATGAGGCTGGGGAAAAGGTCCTTGGGTGGTACCAGAGATGCTAGAGGAAGTGTTCTGAGAGAAGCTGGTAGGTTCCAGAACTGTCCTATTTAAGTGACATGCCGCCAGAGGATGGCACAAACTATGCCAGCCCTGGCAGGGCATTTGAAAAAGCTTTTTGTCAGCCTTCAGTTGTCCCCTGTCAATTGCTCCTGCCCATCACATTTTCTTCAAGAGGCAGCTAACATCCTCAGGAAGGCTTCACACTAGAGGGCTAAGGAGGAGGCAGGGCTACCCTAGTCCTCCTTTGTCCCTGTCTCTCCTTTCTTCCGCTATGGTGGATGTCACCTCCATCAATGATAGGCTACCTTCACTGACTGGCAGGTGGAGGGAGAAGGTGGAAAAATGAAGAAGGAGTCCAGAGACACAAAGGAAGTCCTCAGCTGCTGGAATGTACAGGTTGGATATAGCATGCATGATTAAGGGGCCCGACACATTATTATTTTGTTTAGGTGTATACTTGAGATATTCTAAGTGCACACTGGAAAACATGTAAAATGTTGGTGCTACAAAAACATTCACAAATGTTGCATCAATTAAGTACCAGCAACCAAGGGGTTGCCATCATGTACCATGTAATACAGCTCTATTTTTTCAAGCTATGGTAAACAGAATGAAGTATATCATGAGCTCACTTGGCAATAAAAATGCAGACACCCCATAGTCTTGAGGAAAGCCTGGGATTCCAGTTGCTTTATACATATGAAGCTGCCTGGATCCTGAGATGATCATTTGAGACTGTGTGCCACCTCCATGGAATGCCTAAAGAATGGCGATGAGAAAATGGGCTCCTCATTTTTGGAATGCTGTCCCTGGGAAGCCAGCCTGACACCAATCTTGGCACCATTTTGGCACCGGGAAAAGACATTTGTTTTTCATTTTCCCAGCCGTTTGGGCAGCACCAGTAATATGTTATTGTATTGTTAAATTTGTCCAAAGGAGGAGCCTGTGTGCATTCAGTGGAACGTGTTTGCTGTCCTCCTCACAATTTGAAGCCCTGCACAATTGAGGCTCCCAATTGTTTAGAAGAGTACCTTTAGCCAACTGATTTTATGGAGTGGAGCTGTTGGGGACTGGAATATGGGGGCAGGAACAATGCCTTATGCCTCTACTCCATGTATTCTTAGACTGCATGGCAAGTGGCTTCTGAAGGGGTCTCTGACATGCTGTTCTGAATCCAAAGATTCTGTATTGCCTTTCTAGTTAAACTTTCATTAGGTTCCAAAGTCCTTGATTGCAAAATGATAGTTTTGTTGCTGTAACTCAACTGGCAGACAGGGGGGAAAGTCATTTCCATCACATCCCCTAACTGATCTGAGATGTCAGAAAGAGAGGGGTGGGGGCTATTCTCCATTTGACATGAAAAGATTGAAATAGAGGCATCAGATAATGAAAAGCAGGCAGCCTAAGAATGTCAGGTGAAAGAGATGCTATGCAGATAAAGGAATTCTTATGTGCAGTGATGGGGGAAGGTTGGCTTCCAATCCTTTCAAATGGTTCTGAGATTTTTTTGTGCATCTTACTAAAGCTATAAATATAACCATTCACCCTTGTCCTGATCATGTCAGCATTTCACTAATATTAAATTATTTCCAGCTGAAATATTAGCTGGGTAAAGAATTCTCCAAAGTCAACAAGGCTGGTAAACAACAAAAGCAACTGTTACTACAGTGGTTTTCAAAGCACAATCCAGAAAACTGTCCGGTTCCTTTGGAGCTTACAAAGGATTGCTCACTTGCAAGATTCCTTGTGGAGTCTTCATTGATTACAAATATTTCTGGAGCACCCTTCGTACAAACTGATTCCAGGATGGCGTGCAAGGAGCATGGATAAAACTCATTTTGTAGGGATACAAATGAAGTCAAACAATTAAACATCAACATTTATAATAAATTAGTAATAAAAGTTCAAAATCACACTGCAGGCTGAAAGTATAACCTGCTTCTGCTGCAATGCCTGGGTGCATTATCACCTCTGGCAGTTAATGGGAAGCTTGTCTCACATGACATCTCCAGCATCTTCTACATACAGAAATTCTGTGATGCAGAGCTCTTCAGCACATAGAGATATATTGATATTGATATGTTGAGGAACCAATTGGCCCCTGAATGGAGGAGGGGTGAAAATCTCTGCACCCCGTTCCCATATACTTCAGAGAGGAATTGTCTTTAGGTTGTGCTACAGAAGTATTTCCTCCTGCAGGGGCAGACCTTGAGAACATACTGCCCTGTACGAAGGTCAACATTTGATATTGACTTCCCAGCCCTCGCGGCGCCAGCTTATGGTGCACAATGTTAAGGGTAAACATATATTCAAAGCAGGCATATGTGTAACTCCAGCAAAAGATCCTAAAGCTCTTGGGAGTGTGAGGAGGAATACATGTGAGTGCTGGATACGCATGTGCGTTCAGACATAGATCTCACAACACCACCTCCCCTCTTCCTATAAACCTGAAGAATTCTAGTGGTGCTGTGGGTTAAACCACAGAGCCTAGGGCTTGCCGATCGGAAGGTCGGCGGTTTGAATCCCACGATGGAGTGAGCTCCCATTGCTCGGTCCCTGCTGCTGCCAACCTAGCAGTTCAAAAGCACGTCAAAGTGCAAGTGGATAAATAGGTACCACTCCGGTGGGAAGGAAATTGCGTTTCCGTGCGCTGCTCTGGTTCGCCAGAAGTGGCTTAGTCATGCTGGCCACATGACCTGGAAGCTGAACGCTGGCTCCCTCCGCCAATAAAGCGAGATGAGTGCCGCAACCCCAGAGTCGGTCACGCCTGGACCTAATGGTCAGGGGTCCTTTTACCTTTACCTTTACCTATGAAATTACGGCACTAGCCATAATGTTTGATGTTGTGTTATGTTTTTATGTGTTTTGGAAGCCACCCAGAGTGGCTGGGGCAACCCAGACCGATGAGCGAGGTAACAACAACAACCACAGCTGATGGTTTTGAGAAACCCCAACAAACACAGCTGAGGTTTTTGACAAATCCCAGTCACAGGGTTCCATTTAACTCAATAAGATTTGTTCTTATTTCATCTGGAAAACACTGCAGGGTGTTTTTGCTATCTTAAATTTATTACAGGTAGGTAGCTGTGTTGGTCTACTGTAGTCGAAACAAATTAAAAAAATTCCTTCCAGTAGCACCTTGGAGACCAACTAAGTTAGTTATTGGCATGGTCTTTTGTGTGCACGCACACTTCTTCAGATACACTGAAACAGAAGTCAGTGTATCTGAAGAAGTGCACATGCACACGAAAGCTCATACCAATAACAAATGTAGTTGGTCTCTAAGGTGCTACTGGAAGGAATTTTTTTATTTTGTTATATTTATTAGATAGTAGGTTTGCTCTTAGGGAAATTCTCTTCAGTAATAGCATTTGCTTTCCTAACTGGCAGAAGGGGGGGGCGTTACACTTCACCGCCCATCTTCCCTTTGCTTCACCCCCTGTTACAATCGTTCAATAAGATGATTGATCACGTAATGCCTTCTGCGGCAGCCCGGACCTGGGAGCAACTCTTTCTGCTGTCATTGTACCACTTTGCCACTCTAGGTCTCGCTGACCTATTGCTGAATATAGCTCTGGCCTTTAAAAGAATTGCCGATAACTGCTTTTCTTCTTCTGCCAGGATAATAGCCTCCAAGACTTTTTGCTCCAAGTTCAACTTTAAGACTCCTCTGGCTTTTATGGGCTTTATCGGTTTAATACAATGGTTTTGTTTTATTACTTTCTTCGGCATCTTCCCATCTATCCTGCTCAAACCCGGTTTGCCTTCCACTCGGGTTATACTTCAGAGTTGTCCTACAATTTTTTCTCACTGACTGAGGGCAATTTGTCTTTCATTTATGTCGCATCGGTTGGCTGAACATTGAATGGTGGATTGATAAACCGCACACCTTTCTTACGGGCTGTTATTGGCCTGTACACTTTTATAGCAATCGCTGCTAAAATATTATTGCCACATTTCATAATGTAATAACAAATTCCTCTGTTAAGCATTTTTAGACTTCTCCGATCTTACGCTACAAATTTAAAAAGTTATAGATTGTATCTTCTTAAAGAATGACGTGGGTTTCTTGACATCCCACCAAATAGCTTAGAGTGGAGCTACTACAGTCTTGGCAGCAGTCCCTGATCTAAGAATCTGGGTTACAGCTGAACAACTGCGAAGCAGTGGGGCGAGGGGATAGTTTGCCATGGAGAATGAGTGCCTGCTTAAACCTTCCTCTTTCTCTGCAACCTCTCCTCACAGCCCTTTCCCAAGTAAAGCATATCTTGTACTGTTCCTTACTGAACAAAAACAGAACCAAGACTCTACGCAGCTCCAGACTAGATTGCTTGGGAGACCACCTTATCTCTTATGTATCCAGTAGCAGTTCACTATGTTCTGCAGGAGATCTTCTCCGTAGAGCCCCCCAAATATAAGTAGGTTGCTTCACGGTATTTCAGAGCAAGACTTTCAGGACCACCACCCCTGTTCTGCAAAACAGTTTTCCAGTCGAGATATGAAAGACACGCCCTACCAGTACTTTGGGGAACAATGGACGGCAATTTTGTTTTGACAAGATTTTTCAGCTGGATGAAATGGTCTCTGTCTTAGATGTTGATTTTGTTTCCCATGCTTTGTTACACCTGTCCTATTTTTTTAAATTATTTTTGCTATTTTCAAGGAAGTCTGTGCATTGAATTGTGAGGTGGTTTAGTTACTGCTAAACCACCATAGTAAAGGTAAAGGGACCCCTGACCATTAGGTCCAGTCGTGGCCGACTCTGGGGTTGCGGTGCTCATCTCGCTTTATTGGCCGAGGGAGCCGGAGTACAGCTTCCGGGTCATGTGGCCAGCATGACTAAGCCGCTTCTGGCAAACCAGAGCAGTGCATGGAAACGCAGTTTACCTTCCTGCTGGAGTGGTACATATTGATCTACTTGCACTTTGACGTGCTTTCAAACTGCTAGGTTGGCAGGAGCAGGGACCAAGCAACAGGAGCTCACCCCGTCGCGGGGATTCGAACCGCCAACCTTCTGATTGGCAAGTCCTAGGCTCCGTGGTTTAACCCACAGCACCACCCAAGTTCCAACCACCATAGTAAACTATTACTATTACTCATTAATAAACTCATCCAGTTACTCACTCACTCACGTATCCAGCGCCATAGTCACTCACTTGTTGGCCAGTCTCTCAGTCTTTCTATCAGCTCAGTAACTCAGTCGGCCACTCAGCCATTCATGCAGCTATTTCCTCTGCTGCTCCTTGGTTTGACCCCCTTCGATGACCCTCGGTCTTCCCCTTGATCAGCCGTTCGTCCACTCAGTTGTTCCACTGGTGGACCACTGCTCTGCTCAATTGCGCCCTCGGTGAGCCTCTCCTGTACTTGGCCATCCCTTTGTGTCAGGGGCGGGGCAGAGGAGGAGGAGGAGTGGTGGAGACCACCTCCCCATCCTGACTCTTCCAGGGAGGAGGAAGAAGAAGATAGATTTACAACAGGAGTTTGCGGGAGGTCAAGCTCAGAGGCAGATGAGGGGGATAGTTGGGAAATAATGAGAGAGGAGGAGCAAGCAGAGCTGGACCAGCAGTTGGCTGACATTTTGTCACTAGAAAGCCTTCCAGACCCTCCTTCTCCCAGAACCCGGTGAGCCTTAAAAGTAGGAGAGCAAAGAGCTCAAAGACAGAGGACACTTAGTGGCACCAGTAGAGGAGATGGTGATGATTACAAATGAGGAAGTGGGAGAAACAGGGGGTGGAGATTTACTCAGGACAACACCATTTTCCAAGAGGCTGGGTTCTATAGCCTCTCTCTGTAAAGTTTGAAATTAAAAAAAGGACTGTAGGAAACTTTTCCTTGTCTTTATGCTTTCCTGGGCAACCAGCCGGGAGCTGCTGAGAGCACCCTGACACCTTGGTTGGCTGCTCCTTTGCTTAGTCGTTCCCTCAGTTGCCCACTTTGCCACATTGACATCCCCTCGGTTGCCCCCTCGGTCTGCCATCAGTTACTCAGCTACACAGTTGCAAACAAAATGCTTTAAATGTGTTGCAAAGTGCAGTGTGCAAATGTGACACTAGATGGTGGAAGTGAGCTATGCAAAATGCAATGTGTTTTTCAGAACTTTTTAAGAAAAGGCATTTTCACAGCATTTTAATATGTGTGTCGATTCCACCTCTGTGGGCCAAAGACAGAGAAAGGTGAGGTTAAGGTGGATAGGTGAGCCTTATTATTAAGCCAAAAGTCCAACAGTATTCCCTTTATATAGAAAATGTTCCTTCAATAAACAATTGTTGTTACTAGATCATTCTGTCACACTATTGCTGTCCATCACACGCCTAAGTCAGTAGGCTTTGAAAAGAAATGGGTGGCAGCAGGAAAAGAATCATATTAAGAAATTCAGAGTTACTCCATTTGGGAATTCCATAGACTCTGAAATATAAAAATTAATGAAGCACAGATATCTAAACTAGTGCTTATAAATAGTGGAACCGAGAGACCACTTCCCTATACTGCCTTAGCCTGAGATGACATGATCTCACTTAAGTTTTTAAACAAAACAAAACAAAATCCAAAACCTCATAGTAATTTGACAATTCTCAGATTCATTTTAGAATTTATTATCATTATGGAGCTGGGTCTAGATGCCAGTTTAATAGGTTTTCCCTGCTGTTGGGGGGAGGACCATATAAGCAAGAATTGTAATGGAAATCTGAGATCTTAAATAAAATGGAGAAACAATGGAGAAAAAGCAGTAAAAATGAGTTGTGCCTTAAAGAGACTCCATGAGACTCTAGTCTAGAGCTTGGGAAAACACCTTACCTGCTTTGGGCCACCCAACATGGATTATTAATGCAGGAAAGCAAATTAACAACACAGGATAGGACTATAGGATGGGGCAAATGGGCTTAAAGACCCAGGACAAGTATGGGTGCATGAAGATTCCCTTGTAGGCAAGCACAGCTTGTGACCCTGTACAAACATAACTCAGCTGGTAAGAGCATGGTGGTGATAGCACCAAGGTTGCAGGTTGGGGCAAATGCATGTTCCTGCATTGCAGGGCATTGGACTAGATGAACCTCAGGGTCCCTTCCAACTCTACCATTCTACGATTCTATGATATAACATATAACGATTCTATGATATAACATATCATGACATATCTTGTCAAGGCTTCAGGAAAGTTATTCCTCGCCCAGTTGCAGCAAGAGCAGAGAAAACAAGGTAGAATCCCTTTTAATAATAGCAAGAGTCAAAAGAATGCAACAAGCCTTCACAATGGCGTTGCTCCAAACTGGGCTCCTCCTCTCTCCACCCTAGCAACAGCATCGCCCCTTATGGTGGCCACGCATGGTCAAATGTCTCCGATTGCTTTGTTCCTGCACTCTTAATGAATGCCGAGTTCTGGAAGAAGGGGGATCAGAAATACTCTCCAGTAACAATGTGTCACCTGGCTGCCCTGCTACTGTCCCCCCCCCTTTCTTCTAACAATTCCCAGTGCTTCTGTTCATCTACCTCTGACCTGTGACTTTCCTCAAACCCCTGAAAGCAATACTGTAAATCAAGGCTGCATCCCTCTTCTCCTGCAGCGTCAAGAGAAAGGTGGGGTGATCTCCACCATTCCTCCTCCATCTTGCCCAGGCTTCCTCAACCTCAGCCCTCCAGATGTTTGGAGACTACAAATCCCATCATCCCTGACCACTGGTCCTGCTAGCTAGGGATCATGGGAGTTGTAGGCCAAAAACATCTGGAGGGCTGAGGTTGAGGAAGCCTGATCTAGCCCCCTTGAGTCTAATCCCGGACATATCTGTTAAGGCATTTGCCTTAGCTTCCAGTTTCCCAGCTTTGCAGAGCTTGCAGAGCTTGAACAACATTAAATAATCTTAAAACTGATCTTAAGATTGGTAGATGAGATGATAGATGATGATTGATTGATTGATTGATAGATAGATAGATGATAGATAGATAGATAGATAGATAGATAGATAGATAGTAGGTAGGTAGATGATAAGTAGGTAGGTAGGTACAGGTGAAACTTGGAAAATTAGAATATCGTGGAAGAGTTCATTTATTTCAGTAATTCAACTTAAAAGATGAAACTAATATATGAGATAGACTCACATGCAAAGCGAGATATGTCAAGCCTTTATTTGTTATACTTGTGATGACCATGGCGTACAGCTGATGAAAACCCCAAATTAACAATCTCAGAAAATTAGAATATTAAATGAAATCAGCAAAACAAGGATTGCAAATAGATCAATATTGGACCTCTGAGAGAAGTAGAAGCATGCATATATACTCA